CCCCCCCCCCCTCTTCCCAAGCTCGGTCCAACCCGAACAGTTGAAATCAACATTAGTTAAAGATTATCTCTCCTCACAAGTTTCTCGACTCCAAATATTGTAAGATCATGGTAATGGTCCTCTAAGATCACACGAACCCCCCTCCCCCTCTTCCCAAGCTCGGTCCGACCCGAACAGTTGAAATCAACATCAGTTAAAGATTATCTCTCCTCACAAGTTTCTCTTAACTCTAAATATTGTAAGATCATGGTAGTGGTCCTCCCCCAACCCAAACCAAGCCTTAATCAACCTTCAAAGATCAAAATCAACAACATCGAACTAGATCTCTCTGGAGTTTTCGATATCAATCAAGTTCACCAGTAAAGATCAAGATCAAACAAATTCTTTTTTACACCAAATATTATATAAGATGAAGTAGTGGTCCTATGAGATCTATGTAAAGTGACCCTAAAGCAAAAAACATGTAAAAACAATCAAGTCAAATGTTTCCATCACTCACCCACTACCCATCTCTTTCTCCTTTATGCAAATGTCAAGGAAACAACATGGCCCCAAACAGATTAGGAACACAATCCATTGGGGTTAAAATTCATGGAACATAACATAATATAATATATATCCATTATCCACTTTATTTTAACAGAGTTTCATAATTCAGGCAAAACAAAATCAAACTCCTAGCTTTTCTCAAAAGTTACCTTTATTCCCATAACCTGTTAGAGACAAAAGAAATTTACTTTCAACTAAAACAAATCAACAGTGTGGACCCTACTTCATCAAATTATACATCTAATACTTCCGAGCATGTACTAGGACAATCCATGCAAGGTAGTGCATAGTTCAAACTCGAGCTAGTCTTAGGACAGGTGTAAGCATAGTATGTAAGGAGAGTAAGCATCCCCCGATAGTAAATGTAACCGCTCAAACCCGAGCTAGTCTTAGGACAGATGTAAGCATAGTATGTAAGGAGAGTAAGCATCCCCAGATAGTAAATGTAACCGCTCAAACCCACCGCTAGCAGATATTGTTCTATTTGGGTTTTCCCTTTCGAGCTAGATTTTTAAAACATGTCTGCTAGAGAGACGTTTCCACACCCTTATAAAGAATGTTTCGTTCACCTCCTCAATGGATGTGTATCTCACGTTGACATAGCTGTCATGATGTGGCTAGCAATCCTCTAAATCATTGGATGTATAGTGTAAAACCACTCTATGATAATAAAGAATTGAAAAGAAAAATGAAAAGGAATTTACCTTAAATCTCTTCCAAGCATCCAGGCTACAAAGTAGGGGATCCAGCAAGAGGTTAGCTGGGCCACAGAAGATGAGAATAGCACCAAAAGAACCTAAAGTTATCTCCTGCAATTTGTCTGTAAACGAGTCATCCCTTGTGGATCCGTAGGTTAACATGGGGCCATTCTGCTGCTCTCACACAGCAACGTCCCATCATCATGTGAGTCATAGCCATATATAATTGATATCATTTCTCACTAACCAAATCAACATTCTCTCTCATATCATTATCATCATCACATTTTGGTTAAGGGTTTTCAACACAACCTCCATAAAAGTCACTAATAAACCATTCATCATTGAACAACCATAAAAGGCATAGATTCAACAACACATTACAACAACCTTATGTTTTTTCTTGGATGAAATTATATTATTTCTCTTTGGCTAAAGTAGAAAGGCCAGGAGGAAGTCTAAGAGGTTGTTCCCAAGTTGCTTTTCTAGAAAGAGCTTCCCACACAATGATGGCTATGGAGGCTAGGACTTGAGAGGCATTAGGAAATATTCTCTAAAGTTTAGAGTTCATACCCTCAAGTGAAAAATTTAAGAATCTAAAATTCTTGTTGTCTCTCGAATCTGGCTTTAGGGTGGGTGGAGTGGGCCATGTTCATAATACAAGGAGTATGCTCTTCAATACTCAAATAAACAAAAAAGAAAACACAGATTCTAACTTTTTAGATCAATAACTCGATCAAATCTATTTGCACGACTGTTTTTTAAAGCTTCCTTTCATTCAATTTGGAACAACTAAAAACGCTTCCAAAATCATAGTTTCTTTATGAATGATGCCCAACAACAAAGAAAAAGCTATGGAAAATTCAATAGATCAACTCCATTCGAGAAACTTTTGTTCATAAGCCATTAGCACAGCTGAGGCTCATCTTAGACATGTTCATGGGGCAATGGAGATAGATAATAAGCTTAGATGACTGAAACAGTGCAGCAGAAGAAAGGGTATATATTACAATGCTGAAAGGAACGGTAATTCAACACAGAAGCCATTGGGGAGTTCATAAAGAAACACACCCAGTAATTTCTAGATTCTACAAACAGCCCCTTTTGGATGGAAAATGAGGAAGATCAAATCAATAACAAGAATACATTCATATAACCATCATCTTAGCAGAGAACAGGTTTCAAGAAAAGGAAAAGGAACAATTGCTATACAATTTTCTTTGAAATGAAAAGGCTAGCTATATATTATTGAGCTTATTTATCTTCTTCTTCTTTTTTTGTTGTTTTTTTCTTCTTTTTTTTTTTACCTGGAAGAGACAGAGTTCAAGGCTCTGGCAAAGCCATTCACAGCTCCATAGCCCTTTGAGCTGAACCCCAAGCAGCCAAGCAAGCCTTGTCTGTAAGGCAAGTATGTCTTCTTCCTCAGCTCCTCTGCTTGTGCTCTGTTTTTTGTGTAGTGCAGTTCATGTGGCGACGGCGGAATACGCCGCTTCCCGACGCCGTTCGTCGGTTTTCCGGCCCCCGGCTTCTTCGCCGGAACTTGCCCACTTCCCCCCTTCAGCTTCTGTGCTGAGGGTTTTGTAGCCTTTTGCTTTGCTGAAGATGAAGTGGATGTGGATGCTGTTTGATTTGTTGTGGGTTTTTTCTCTTTCGCTGAAGAAAATGAAATGTTGGACCAGAATTTGTGATTACTGCTTCTTCCTTCACTCTTGCTTCTGTATAGAAAATCCTTCAAGAAAATCCATCGCTTCGAGTTTCTTCCGGCTGATGAAGATCTTGAAGATGAACCCGAAACTGAAGGAGTAGTCGTTTCTGAACTCATAAACCCTTCTTCTTCATTCTTCTCCATTGTTTTTCCTTCTTCTGAATCGTTCCTCTCAGTGTTCAAATCTCCATCGTCATTTTCAGTCCATTCCACCGGCGTATTTCTCATCGGCGACATAGATCTGGTTCTCCGCCGGAGAGATTTATCGCGAAGTCGAAGATCTCTCCCTCTTACAAACCCTACGATTTCACCTCCTTCATCTTCTTCATCTTCCCCTTCCAGATCCAGTAATGGCGCCAAAACCTGCGGCTGCTCCAAGTGAGTCGAAAGCTTCATCGGCCGGATCTTTCCATTCAAGAACAACTCATCCGCGGAACTCATGGACCCGATCGAACCTGAGCCAATAGAGCCAAACCTCCCGGAGAACTCAAACTCGAACGAAAACGAATGACTGTCTTTCAACGAAGACGACGGCAACTGAGCTGACGAACTCGAGGATTTAGTTATAGCAAAATGCATTGGACTAGCCGGGGCGCTGTAATAGAATCCACCGACGGGGCCACGGCCGGGGCTCGATGGAGCACTAACATAAGGAGTGGAACAGGCGCTATCGACGTCCTCAAACACGTATTGGGGTCCACCATTAATGGCTTCTTGAAGCTCAGTTTTGCTTTCTGAATCCAAATTTTCGCCGCCATTGTTACTGGTTTGGAGCTCCATTGCTCTGTTCATCAGTTCTGCGCCAAACGGAGAAGAAGCTCTGAGAAACGAAGGAGCGTAGCTGCAGCAATTTAATAATTTCGGGAAGGATTCACAAAATTACCCTCGAAGTTCGATTTTATTACATGTACTGCCATTCATATTTGTGGATTTTTCTAAAACACCCCTAGATCTATGTCCTCCTTTTTCTTTTTATATTTGTTGATTTAAATTGAAATAAACAATTATTATCAATTTCATAATTATTTTTAATTATTTATTTTTCAATAATTTTTTTTAGTAACTTTCTACGAGGTAATTTTTCAAATATATATTGAAATTAAGCGGTAAATAATAATAAAATATTTAAAAATAAATAAATAAATTTTGTATCAACTAACATTTTACCTTTATTAAAAATAAAAATAAAAATTATAAATATTGTTGAAAAATCCAATAAGTATTGAACCGATTTTGTCCGTAACAGCTCAAGTCTACTGTAAGCAAATATTATTTGTTTTGGTCCGCTACATATCGTTGTCAGCTTCACAATTCTAAAACATGTCTGCTAAGGAGAGGTTTTCATATCCCTGTAAGAAATGCTTCATCTCACGTCGTTTGGAGAAGGAAACGAAACATTTCTTATAAGGGTCTGAAAATCTCTCCATAATAGACACGTTTTAAAATCGTGAGACTGAGGCGATACGTAACGAGTCAAAGTAGACAATATCTGATAATGGTCAGTATGGACTATTACAAATGGTATCAGAGTCAAATAACGAGCCTATAAATCAGTTCAGCACCCTACAATTCAAAACCCAAGTTTTATAAAACGTTCCAATGGAGTTGAAAACTCGTGAAAACACAGGACGGAAAGCTAGCATCTCGAAATGTCATTCTTCCGAGCTTAATTCAAGCAAATATCTCGATCACTGTCACGTTGTTTCAAGTCTCTACCATCCAATAACTAGATTAATTCAAGCCATTTAGATTATTTGTTTTGAAAAAAGTTACCATCCAATAACTATTCAACTGATTTTGTCGCTAACACAGCTCAAGTCTACTATCAGCAAATATTATTCATTTTGGCCCGCTACATATCGTTGTCAGCTTCACGATTCTAAAACGTGTTTGCTAAGAAGAGGTTTTCACACCTCTGTAAGAAATGCTTCATCCCACGTCGTTTGGAGAGGGAAACGAAGCATTTCTTATAAGGGTCTGAAAATCTCTCCCTAATATACGCGTGTTAAAATCGTTAGACTTAGGCGATACGTAACGGGTCAAAGTAGACAATATTTGTTAACGGTCGTTATAGACTATTACAAACGGCATCAAAGTCAAACACCGAGCCCATAAATCACTTCAGCACCCTACAATTCAAAACCCAAATTTTATAAAACGTTCCAATAGAGTTGAAAACTCATAAAAACACGGGACGAAAAATTAACATCTCGAAATGTCATTTTTCTGAGCTTAATTCAAGCAAATATCTCGATCACTGTGTAAATTTTTCTTAAAAAATATCTAATTTATATTTTTTTATTAAATATTATTTAGGTAAATAATAATAATAATAATGTATAGGGGTATTAAGGACAATAAAAATTGAAACATAGGATCCCTAGGCTTTGAGTAAAAAAGAAGATGCGCCGAAGCTGAGGCTCGGAGTCCGAACCTGAGGACACGGATTTCAATCAATAATGAATGATGAAACCCATCAACTGTTTGATTAAATTAGTGAAATTAATCAGAAGGGTATTAGTGTAATTTACAATTGCAGGTTTCTTTTTTTAAATATATATATTTATTTATTTAATATTTTCTCCTTTTTTTTTTTTTTTAATTTTCTCTTTTCCCAATAAAAAGAGAATATTGGCACACAAATAACCTCCAATACTTTCCCCTTTTTCAGCTTACAAATCCAAAATTTTGGATTTGTATACCACATGTGGATTCCATACCCTAAATTATATAAAAAATACCGATAAATCTCGAGTGTTCGTGGGTCGGGTTAAGTCAAATACCGATAAATCTCGAGTGTTCGTGGGTCGGGTTAAGTTAAATCGAGACATTTTTAGACTCAATTTAATTGCTCGAATTTTTATTTTTTTTAATTTAAATAATTTTAATTAAATAATGAACTCAATCCAATAATAATTTTTTTGAATTGAGTTAGTTCGAGTTGTTCGGGTCATTTATTCAATTTATTTACACTGAATTGAACCCAGATAAATTTATAGCCCAACTCAAAAGGTACGGGTTAAGTTGTGTTGATCGAATTTTTTAACCTCCGTAGTTAAATTCCAATTATTTTATTGAATTTTAGAAAATTTCATTTAAACTTTTGAACTGTGAAATTATTTTGAAACAAACCCGAGAAGAGTTTTCATGTTGAAAATGACGATGAACATTGTGTGGGAATTGTCGTGAAAGTCGAGAGATAAATGTGACATCATTTACCGTCTCATTCCAACCTAACGAAAAACTAAGGTTGTTATTTTCATTCCAACTTAAACAGTATTGCTACATTGAGTATTGCATCGATTTCTATCGTCATTTTAACGTAAAAACTCTTTTAATTAAAAGACGACTAATAATAACTTTAGGTTGTATAAATCGATATAAGCATAGTTCAACTAACTAAGATATAATATTCTCGATTACGAGGTCAGATATTCTTGTTTATAATATATATATATATATATATATATATATATATAGAAAATAAATGAGAAAATAAAGAATTCTTCCACCTTGGGAAAGAAATTAAAAAAAATAATAAGACACGTTTATTAATATTTTTATTTTGAAAAATTATGTTTGTTTGTCAACTAAAAATAAAATAATGTTAAAAAAATTTATACGTGCTAACACTAAACATATGCTTAGACACGTTTAATTTTGTTCTCTTACATATCTCAATTTTATTTCTTATGCAAATTAAGTCGTTTTATAAAAAATATTATTTTCTCATCTCTACCCGACCACTTATTTCATTTTTCATTTTCATGAAAATTTTAATTTATTTTTGTAGGGATCAGATTTCCCGTCTCCATTATCTTTTAAAAAAACTAATTATTTTATCATTTTTATTTTTTAATATAATCTTTATTAAAAAAAATTATAATAAAGGTCTAAACATTCAAATTTAAATATTACAATATAGTATTTAAAAATTCAAAAAATCTAATTAAGTAATTTATTTCTTTTAATATAGCAAAAAAGTATACACGTATATATGTGTTGAAAGTATATTTATATTAAGCGGAGAAGGGATGAGGCGGGACAGGGACAGGGCCAAAGAATATAATCACGTCTCTGACCCCATTTATCTAACGAATTAAAAAAAAACGTTCCCACTCTCCCATCCTCCATCTAAACGGGAAATTTCCGTGTATATGTATTGAAAATATATTTATATTAAGCAAAGAGGATGAGGCAGGGACAGGGACAGGGACGAGGACCCATTTATCTAACGAAAAAAAAAAAAAAAAACATTCCCCACTCCCTCCCCAATCCTCCATCTAAATAGAGAATTCCCTTCCCGTCAAGATAGGTTCGAGTAAAATGGACATCTCTAAATGTAAGTCTTTCACCAACCCTAAGATTTTCCTATAGTGCGAGTTTCATGAAGGAAACATTGATATAAAAATAAAATAAGAACTGTTAATGAAGATGGAAAGTACTTGAACCAAACCAGAGAATCAGAGCTTCCTCTGCAGTATTTGTCTGGTAATCCATTAGTACCACCACCGTCAGCCACCTCTACATGAAGAACAGTCAGTAAGTTGGGGAATAATCAAGAAATCACTCACCAATTCATCAACTAAACAATTTAATATCCCTTTCTCAATCTCAACCCCTTCTTCATTAGCTTCTTGATCCATGTTGACCCATTTCCCATTATGGCTACTCATATCCTTCTCCACAAGTTCATCCACCATCCATTCTTCCATGCTTTTCCAGCTCTCAATCTCCTTCCATACCTCCTCTGCTAAGCTACCATTTTCGAACAGTTTTCGCCATGGAACCAATGTTTTTGAACTTCCAATTACTATTTGTTTTGCCTTTAATTCTAAACATTCATTCACGCAGTCGAATAGGATCTTGCGTTCGAGCTTGAAATGTTCTGGTTCATTGTTGTTCTTTGTGTTTTCTTCAATCTCCAGATTGTTGTAGAGACTGGGAGTGATGAGCATTGGAGTGATACCTAATGTGAAGTTTTCGAATGCTAGCTCGGCTTTGCTTACGACTTCCCTCACGTACTGTAGTTCCCAGTCATCTGATCTATGCGTGTTTATTGGACTTGTCGTCGTAGGTGACCGTGTTCTGTACTTGTCTTGTTCGTCGATGGTCGATGCAGAATTGAATACTGGTGTCTCCCCAAGCATTATTGGGTAGAGATTTGTTGGGTCTAAGTTCATTGCATTACCCAACCTGCTGGCTGTAAACAGGAAAAGAAAAAAGGTCAATACTAGCAGATTTTGGTAACAAGTAAGCAAGATTCTATCATTTTGCATCTTTCCAACGTTTTGGGAAATTACTCGCAAAGGTTGGAAGAACGTGACGGGTGGTTTTGTAGCGTTGAATGCACGAGAGATTACAAACTGTATGCGCCCCCTGTGGTCGAGGGGGTAACTATATTGTGGATGACAGTCACATTGAATAATTTTTCGTCTAATTTTTCCAATATGTTATGCAGAGAAAAAAGAATCTAGAAAATAGTTTCTACTCTCCATATTGTGGATAGCACCCACAGCTAGCAACTATTGTGCGCTTTAGCTCGTTACGTATCGCCGTCAGTCTCACAGATTTAAAAACGCATTTGTCAAGGAAAGGTTTCCACACCCTTATAAGGAATGTTTTGTTTCCCTCTCCAACCGAAGTGGGTTCTCACAATCCACCCTCCTTAGGGGCCAGCGTCTTCACGGGCACACCGCTCGATGTTTAGCTCTGATATCATTTGTAACAGCTCAAGCTCATTGCTAGCAAATATTGTCCATTTTGGCCTTTTACGTATCGCCGTCAGCCTCACGATTTTAAAACGCGTCTGCTAGGGAGAGGTTTCCACCCTCATAAGGAATGTTTATTCCCCTCTCCAACCGATATGGGATCTCACACAGTGAAATTTGTTTGTGACACTAACTTTCCAGAGAATGCATAATTCACATAGTTCAAAATATCCCATGAGGAAGAGAGATATTTACCATGGATGCTATTTCCGTCGTCGGGGGAAAACTCATCGTCTACTGAAGATCCGCTCATGGTCACTGTTTCGGTGTTGTTGCTATCATCAGGTTCCTTCATTTCTTTCACTCCCTGAAACTGGAACAAGTTTAGTTACACAGAAAGAGGTATTGAGAGACATTGAATTATTCATAACTCAGAATGACTAAACTCGTTTTCAGTACCACGGAGCAATACCTTCTGCCATTTATCGACAATCAGTTCGTTGCTATCGGTTGACAAGTGACCGCAATCATGGGGACTATCTGAATATCTGCAGCCTATGCAATTTTCTTTCGTGGCACATTCTGAAGTGGCGTAATGCGAATTAGATCCAGAACAAGAAAAAATGTCGTCTCTCGCCATATAAGATTGAGAGGACTCGACCCTACACGTCAATTCCTGAAGCTTTTGCTCCAACAAAACACTCAAAGCATCGCCGTTTATGGCGTTTAAATTGGGTGAAAATGATGATAGATTCTTCAAATAATCATTCTCACTATAAGAATCAAAGACCAAGCTGTGGTTAATTTTTACAGCCTCATCTGAGTGAGGTTCAGAACTAGATTTCTTCAGCGGGGATGTGAATGTAAAAGAAACAACGTCCATTCCCGGCTTTCGGTTTTCATCACCGTTCATCGAACCATCAACTGCAATATTATATTTGACAGATCTCTCACCGTTGTGGATCAAAGAATTAGATACAGAACTTCCTTCACTACTAACATCCTGACTAACAGATTTTTTCTTCCTTGAGGCAGCATTTCTCTTGGAAGATCCAAAGTCTTTTTTGGCATCAGTTTCTCTCGTGCGTGTGATTTTCGATTCAACTTCGCAGTTGATAAGAATCTTATTTACAGTTTTGCTAGAACCTATGTGACAATTAGCAGACTGAGTCCTTTTGACAGGCTGATTAAGAACTTGGGGTTTTGAAGGCAATTTTTCTTTGTTGGGTAGAGAATTCTGCTTCTGATTGTTTTGAGCTAGAACATTGTTATTCCTCTTCATGGTTCTCTTCTGCATAGTTTTTTGCATTCTGGGCTGACTTTTGAAAACTTGGCTTGATTTTACGTCATTCTGCTCTTTCCGATCCATCGCACCCGCCCTGTCACTACAAGAAGTCGAGTCCCCTTTACTCTGATGATTGGCTCTTGCTTGAACTGCAAGAGAAACTGGTCTTCCTTTATCTTTTAAACCGTTGGAATTACTTCTATCCGCATCAGTAGACTCGGTCCTTGACGCAAGATGTTCGGATCCACTGTAGTTCCTTTCACTAGCCTTTCCTTTTCTATTCTTTCCGATGTAATTTTCGGTTGATCGTTCAATTCCAGATGACTTACGCGTAGTTTCCACTTTCTCTTTCAAATCCCGGATTCTCAAGGGCACTGAAGAGTTGGTAATAGATGTCATTTTACTCTTCACAGGTTTCCTTGGACTTGCCTCAATTATCTTGGTAGCTGCTTCCATTAAGTAACCTGTGCTCATTGTTGGAGTAAACCCAGGGCTCTTAATAGGAGACAACAACTTATGATGAGTTATAGGTATAGATTTAGCAGACTTGGGAGGCAATACTTCAGATTGAAATCTCTCAATTGGAAGTTTCGGTACTTTTTGCGCCCGCAAGTCCAAGAGATTCCCAGAAAACCTCTCGAGTTTGTTCGGCATATCAATATAGTCCATAGAATGACAGTTCCATCCTCCATCACTGTTATCATGATGAGAAGCCCCGACCAAGTGGGATTCTAAAAATGAGGTAGAACAAGGCTCGGGTACATTAGAAGGCAATGAATCTAACCCCATAAGTCTGGCAACGACACTGGGGACTCGACCCCCACATTTCTCATCACTTGTTTTGGTCAAAGAAAAATCCCAATCACCATTTAATTTATAACTAGAACTTGCTCCATCTTCCCTTGCCTCTAACTACAGATAGAGAATCATTCAGAAAACAGGGTAATCGAAGACGAAAAGGGAACAGAAATGGCAAGAAAAATTGTACATCAAAGGCAGTTCTTACCTGAAAGAGCTGTGATTTTGACAAGTTGTCAACATTTTCTTTTCCTTGCTTCAATCCTTTTATGGCAAAATAGGAGAAATCAACATACTAAAGAAGTAAATTGTCGTGCTCAAAAGCAAAATGTTTCTTCAACACTCATTTAATTCATATCATCATAAGGATAAAGCAAGAACAGAACCCTGAAATAGCATAAGTTCAAAAGCAATAGGTACCAGCTAACTCATTACTGCTTGAGAACAGCCTTTTCCGAGATTTGCCATTCCAATCAAATAAGTTAAGAAAGCCTCCTTTTGATCGTTTCTTCTCAACCTCCATCTTCTAATCCACAAAACGCCTAGACAGCAGCCATGGGAAGATCAAAACAGAACCCATAACCAAAAGTTTCTCAGAGTTTATCACAGAATCCATTATCCCAATACCACAATCAAACAAGAGGAGTTTTATCCAATACTTAACAGTTTACATCTCTTGCTCTAATGAGCCTTCCAAGAAACCCTAATTTTACAGCGAGAGAGGTAAAGCAAGGCCTATCAAAGAACAATTTAGCATCTAACAAAGGAGAAAATACCAAAACAAGAACAGAAATAGCAAGCATTGTAGTTAATCAAAATGTGTCATCTCCAAGTATAAACCAAATCCTTCGCCGTTCTAATACAAATTTCATCCAAAATTCAGTATCCACAGTGCGACATTTCAAAATTCAAATTGTTCATTCCTCAGTCCATGAACAAAACCAACGAACATTTATTGTTTCAAATACGAACAGAATCGAAAACTCAGCCATTGTAATGAAACAAAAAACACATACCTCTCAGCAAATAGATCCCATTTCCAAACTGCTAGTTCGCGACCAGAAACAGGCGGAACAAATCAAAGAGAGAACAAAACTCAGATCTAACAACTAAAAGGTCGCAAAAATTGACCAAAAGAGTGCGTTGAAAAGAAGTTAACAGTGAGGAATAGAGATCTTCAGGCGGTAGAGAAAGAAGTACTAAAAGCAAAGGACAGATAGGAAACGTAGAACATTAAAAATGGCAGAATGAGAGAGAAAGAAGCTTAAAAACTGGTCTTTGTGGTGGAAAAAATTTAAGGAATTCAAGAGGCTCCTCCTCCTTCCCCTTCCCCTGCTCACTGCCGTCTGAGTAAGTTCTTCTCACTTGAATGCAAATCCCTCGCTTTCTCTCTCTTCTTTCTCTCTCTACTGCCATGTGAGAAGAAGCAGGAAGGTTTCGTGCTTCGGCCCATATTGCAAGAGAACCCCACTTTTCCACTTTCGATGTGGGGCCCACTTAGTTAAAATAATTAAAATAATTTATTTTCTTTTTTAAAACGGATTGAATCCTGACCGTTGGTTTATTTTATGTTTTAAATAAAGAGATTTTGTAGTAATATTATTGATATAATGAAGAAATAAATAATTTAAATTGAAAAAGAAAAATAGGTATTTGTTTAAATTCTTTGTCTTTTCTTTCTTTCTTTTCTCAAAAGGAACATTTCAAATTTAGAATGGAAAAAAGGTTTGTTTCTAATTGGTTGGTGGAAATTTTGGGATGATCAAATAAATAATATTTATATTAAATTTACAAATTTAAATGTTTTAATTTTTGGATAAAAACTTTATTATAATAGAGATTATACACGAGAGTCTTTGTTAAATTACAAAGATTTTTTCTTTTTAATTTTCAAAATTATAGAGACTAAATTCTAAGATGATCGATAGAGGTTTCCTATATTGGAGAGTGGAAGGGATAAAGGATGAGAATGAAGAACGGGCGCCCAGCCCATGCATCTCGAGTAGAGTGCTAACCAGGAATAGGCTGCATTTGAATAAGAGAACGAACTCAACCAAAGAACTACAATTGAAACAAGACTAGGATTTGAAAGAAGAAGAACAAAAAACCAGAGATTTTTTCTCAGGAAACCCAGAAACTCAAATCATATATATATATATATATATATATATAGACACACACGTCCTCTTGTTAAAGAAATACGACCGACCGACGATATAGACAGATATATGAGATGATTGATAGAGGTTCTCTATATTGGAGAGTGGAAGAGGAAGTCTCTATTTACATAACATAAAAGATGGGAATGAAAAACAGGCGGGCAGCCCATGCATTCCAAGCAGAGAGCTAACCAGGAATGAGCTGCATTTGAATAAAAGAACGAACTCAACCGAAGAACTACAATTGAAACAAGACCCGGATTTGAAAGAAGAAGAACAAAAAATCAGAGATTTTTTTCTCAGGAAATTTTTAAACTCAAATCATATTATATATATATATATATACGTCCTCTTGCTAAAGAAATACGACTAATCGACGATATAGACATATATGTGAGATGATCGATAGAGGTTCCTCATAATGGAGAGTGGAAGGAGAAGTCTCTATTTACATAACATAAAGGATGGGAATGAAGAACGGGCGCCCAGTCCATGCATCCCGAGAAGAGAGTTAACTAGGAATGAGCTGCATTTGAATAAAAGAACGAACTCAACTGAAGAACTACGTTGAAAGTTAGACACATGCAAGTTGGATATGAAGTGGTGTTTCCAACGACGGGCGGATGAGTAATGCGTAAGAACCAGACCTTGTGAGGAGAACAATAACCAAAAACGAATGCTAATACCTCATACGCTGAGAAGCAAAAGGAGGAATCCACCCAAGGGAGTGCTCCTGTCTGATTAGCTAGTTGATGAAACAATAGCTTATCAAGACAATGATCAATAGCTAGTTCGAGAGGATGATCAATCACATTGAAACTGAGATACGATCCAGACTCCTACCAAAGACAACTATCAATTATTAGACTTCAACTTATTAAAAAGAAAAACAATTAGATTCTAAATTCAGCTGTTAATATTTAAAAAATTCATTTCAAAGGTCAAATCAACACTAAAATAAAAAATGGTGAAGTATAGTAAATTGGGAAGTTAGTAAAAACAGCACTTATGAGGGTAATGAATAATTGCAAAAGAACTGTTTTCAACGGTCGCAGTAAATTTCTGAAGTAATAATTTGCACGTTCAATTTGGTATAAAAGAGAGGTCAAATATTTATTGCTTTCTTCAACTATTTAAGGATAATAGTTTTTTTCCTTTTCTTTTCTTTTTCTTTTTTTGTTACAATTATTTAAGAGAATAGCTGAGAAGACCTGCCAAATTATTCAAAAAGCCACACAAATAATTTCACTTCCTCTTTAATTAAATTATAAATTTAAGATAGAATTTCAACGGAATAATTTCATAAATTTCATAAATAGTTTCTACGATCTATAAGCAACTTATAAATGGTCCTAGCAATTAAAAACTTTCTCAAAATTAAGGTGTGAGAAGAACAAAACATCATTTATAAGGGTGTGGAAAGTCTAAAAAGGACAATATCTGCTAGCGATGGGCTTGAGTCATTACAAATGGTATCAGAGCTAGACACCGGACTATGTGTCAGCGAGGAGGCCCTTCCCCGAAAGGGGTAGACATGAGACAGTGTGCCAGTAAAGACGTTAGGCCCCAAAGGGGGTGGATTTGGCGGGCGCACCACATCGATTGGAGAAAGGAAAGAGTGTCAACCTTAAAGGAGGTAGATTTGGCAGGGTCCCACATCGATTGGAGAAAGGAAACGGGGCACATCGATTGAAGAAATGAAAGAGTGCCAACAAGCCCCAAAGGAGGTGGATTTGGCGGAATCCCATATCGATTGGAGAAAGGAAACGGGACACATCAATTGGAGAAAGGAAAGAGTATCAGCCCCAAAGGGGGTGGATTTGGCAAGAGTCCCACATCGATTGAAGAAAGGAAAGAGTGTCAGCCCCAAAGAGGTGAATTTGGTAGGGTCTCACATCGATTGGAGAAAGTAAAGAATACCAGAGCCCGAAAAGGAAAGCCCATAGAAGACAATATCTGTGGGCTCGAGTCCTTACATAAGGAGACTGAATTTATGATTTAACCTGATTCCGAGTCTATGTTTAGTTGTAACAATTTAAATAGAAACTATCTAAGTTTGGGACTTCTCATTTGTAATTTACTCAAATTCAAATTTCAAACTCGTAGTCAACTTCACTCATGAGCAAGCTAAACATTTCAATTATACTGGCACAATTATAACAACCTCTATCATCTATCTCATACAAGAGTACATTAAAAACGTCATCCAAAAGTAAAAAATTAGCTAACATGTGGACTACTAGAAACCCGAGTTACTATAACATCCCAACATATCATTGAAAATAGGATTAAAAATAGGCTAAAATGTATTAAGCAAATCAACTGGACTTAAGAAATTATGTTACAAATATCATATGAATAAAAGAGTGGGCAGAAATCTAGATGATGTCACCATCGACAAAGACCATACTTCTACTCTTAAAAGCTAAAAGAATCGACCAACAAAATCCAAGAAAAAAGAAAAAAAAATTGTTTGAAATAAACGAGTAAAAGACAACTTCAAATAGAGATGTCTAATTAACTTGTGGAACTTGTTTCGAACGAGATGGAAAACTCTCGTTTCAATAGGGTATAGAGAAAGAAGTGAAAAAAATCTTTTCCAGGTTAGTCATGGGGAGCTGGGAATTGAGACGGGAATTATATTTGTAACAACCCAGCCCCATCGCTAGCGGATATTATCTTCTTTGGGCTTTCATTTTTGGGCTTCCCTCAAGATTTTTAAAAAAACATCTTTCAGAGTTAGACAGCTGAATTAGTGCTCATCCAAATACTGATCCAAATACTGTCCTCTTTGGACTTTCTTAATGGGCTTCCCCCTTACCGGTTTGCTAGGGAGAGATTTCCACACCCTAATCGGTAGGGAATAGAGCAAAAAGTGAAAAAAAATATTTTCCAAGTTAGTTAAAGAGAGCTGGGAATTATATTTGTAACAACCCAGCCCCACCGCTAGTAAATATTGTCTTCTTTGGGCTTTCCTTTTTGAGTTTCTCCTCAAAGTTTTTAAAAAGCATCTTTCAGAGTTACACAGCGGAACCAGTGCTCATCCAAATATAGTCCTCTTTTGGCTTTCCCTTATGAGCTTCCTCATTACGGGCCTACTAGGAAGAGGTTTCCACACCCTAAACCCTAAACCTTCAAGATTTTTGGGCTTTCCCTTCCGAGCTTCATCATTACTATCTACTAAGGAGAGGTTTCCACATTCTTATAAAGGGTGTTTCATTCTTCTCCCCAACCAATATGAGATATCACAATATTCTTCATTCCCGTCTCCACCCACCTAAATTCCTTCCAAATATGAAACCAAACGGAGAAGAGAATAGCAAAATTATAAATTTGAAAAATCTAAGATCCTAGATTTTGTTTCTACTAATAATAATTCAACACAAATTAGAGTTGGAAAATGTTAGATTCTTGACAAACAAACAGAGTCGGCTGAGCAATGATTGGCCATTGCTTCTCGCCAATATGAACATGCAATTTGGTCCCACTTCAGTTTCAAGATCACAGCAATACATTCAATTATTTTAGAGTCGTTTTTTTCTAAAAATAAAATAAAATAAATTATTCTTCTCATTTCATGTTTTCTTTAGTTTCATAATAATTATAAACCAAGTTTTCAAATCATTAAACTTACAAGTTATGATTTGCCAACCACCCTTACTTTACCCAACTAACCAACTCTGTATTCTATAATATCCATTAACATTTAAATAATAGTGTAAAGCCTAGTACCTTGATAGAAATTATAATAATAATGATAATAATAAATAAATAAATGATATGTTTTCTTAAAAGTTCTAGCACTACATAGTTACGTAACGTTTAGTTTAATTATTTTTATTTTGCATTATCTTTTTGAGCGGGAAACAAGTAAAATAAATGTAATATCGAGGACATCTTAAAAAAAATTAGTTTGATAATCATTTTATTTTCTATTTTCTATTTTTTTATAAAAAAAAAAAATTAAGCTCGGAAGCATCATTTCTACCTTAATGAAATATTTGAATACTAAAAAAATAGTTTTTAAAATTTTGATTTTTTTTTTAAAAAAATTGGTTTAAAATGACGTTTTTCAATGCGAAAAAATTTACCCAAAAAAAAATTATAAGATCCCACGTCCGTCGGGATGGAGAACAAAACATTTTTTGTAAAGATGTGGGAACCTCTCACTAAAAGCCCGAAAGGGAAAGCTAAAGAGGACAATGTCTGCTAGTGATGGGCTTGAGTTGTTACAAATGGTACGATGTGCCAGCGAAGAGGTTGAGCCCCAAAGGGGGTGAGCACCACACAATGTGCCAGCAGAGGTGCTAGCCCTAAAAGGGGTGGATTGTGAGATCCCATATCTTTAGAAGGGTATAGAAACCTCTTCCTAGTAGACACATGGAGAGAAAACTCGAAATGGAAAGTTAAACAGAGTTCTTATAACTAATTCTGCAGCAGAAGCTCCCAAACAATTCCTAACTATCATGACAGCAACATGCATACCTCAATAATCTACAAAGAGGCCTTTTTTCAAGTTATCAGTTTGACTCTCTATGTCAGTCTTTCAAATAGAGGATTTAGTGAGAAAAAAATTGATGCTCCCAAATACAAATCATCATGCCACAGTGATAAATCATAGGTGATCAAAGTAATTGAGTTAGAATAAATACCTGGATTGAGGACAAGCAAGTTTGCAGTCAAGACGGAAGCCTTTCTAGCCTGCTCTGAAGGCGCCATGACAAAATAATAGAGGGCTGAACTGTTGTCCCAAGAATGAAGGTGGAATGGTGTCCATTGCAGCTAATGTCGTATGGTTCCCAAGCTTACTGCTCACATATTGTTCGCTTTAGCCCATGACATATTGTCGTCAACCTCACAGTTTTAAAATGCGTTTGTTAGGGAGAGGTTTCTACACTCTTATAAAGAACGTTTTGTTCTCCTCTTCAACCGATGTGAGATCTCACAATCCGCCCTCCTTGGGAGTCCAATGTCCCCGCTGGCACACCGCTTGGTGTCTCCTCGCTAGCACACCGTTTGGTATCTGGCTCTGATACCATTTGTAACAGTCCAAGCCCACCACTAACAGATATTGTCTACTTTGGCCCGTTACGTATCGCCGTGAGCCTCACGATTTTAAAATGTGTCTGTTTGGGAGAGGTTTCCATCCTCTTATAAATAATGTTTTGTTCCCCGTCCGTTGGATCTCACAATCCACCCTCCTTGAGAGCCCAGCGTTCTTGTTGGCACACCGCCTGCTGTCTGGCTCTGATACCATTTGTAACAGTCTAAGCCCACCACTAACAGATATTGTCCGCTTTGGCATGTTACGTATCGCCGTCAACCTCACAGTCTTAAAACGCGTATGTTAGGGAGAGGTTTCCATACTCTTATAAAGAACGTTTTGTTTCCCTCTCCAACCGACGTGGGATCTCACACTTCTTAAGACAGTTATCACATGGATAAGAGTCATATTTGCGTGCTTTTCGAACAAATGACTTCCAAATGCTGAAGCTATGTTTGTCTCCAACATTCGTCCTATGAAATTTCACCGCAAATTAAGGAGCATGAGTTTGCATCAACTAATCGAAATTGTAAAATGCTAAAAGTAAGAGGCAGGAACTTTCATCGAAATTGTAAAATGCTTAAGAGGCAGGAACTTTCATGAGGATGAAATGGAGTAACTAACCTTAAGTTCACAGAACTCTTTCATTTTCTTTTCCCGAATCATTGACATCTTACATCTTTCACTTTGAAATCCTTGTCCATTAAGTAACATGCATATGATGCGGCTGAAATCCTTTTTCCTTGAAGCTTTGAAATCAACAACATCACTTTCACTGGAAGAATCAATATCGACCAAATTTGTTTTTTCCTCCACTTGAGATGAATCTTTTATGATGTTGATTGAATCTTTTATGATGTTGATTGAGGGGGTCGTGGTTCCTAACATGATATTAGAGTTATGCCCTTTAACTTAGTCATGTCTATAGAATTCTCAAATGTCGAACAAAAAAGTTGTGAGTCTCGAAGGTATGGTCAAAAGTGACTCAAGTGTCGAACAAAGAGTGTGCTTTGTTCCCTTTGTTCGAGGACTCCAGAGAAATGAGTCGAATCTCGATTAAGGAGAGGTTGTTCCAAGGCTACATAGGTCTTAGAGGAGGCTCTATGGTGTACTTTGTTTGAGGGGAGGATGGTTGGGAGGGAGTCCACATTAGCTCTAATTAAGAGAAGGATCATATATTTATAAGTAAGTAATACATTTCCATTGGTATGAGACTTTTCGAGAAACCAAAAGCAAAATCATGAGAACTTATGCTCAAAGTGGACAATATCATACCATTGTGGAGGTCGTGGTTCCTAACACAGTACTCTAAAGAGACGAGTTCCTGCTCATCACCACCGGAACAAAGAAGCACTTCCATAAATAGATAATCGACACTGCCAACCTTTTACTTTAATAGCGGAATTAGAAGAGCCATGTTGGTAAATCTCACTATAATAACATTATACCACTCGTTAATCAGTATGATAACCTCAACACACATCATCTAAGGAAAATTTAAACCCACCGTTTTTAAACGGTTTTTATGATCCATTAATTTATTGTAACCTCCAAGGCACCTCTCGCCAATATTGTCTTCTTTGGGGCTTTTCCTTCCGAGCTTTCCCTCAACACGTCTGTTATTTTCACACCCTTATAAAGAATGTTTCGTTCTTCTCCCCAACCGATATGGGATCTCACGATCCACCCCTTTGGAGCCAGCGTCCTCGCCGACACTCGTTCCCTTCTCCAATCGATGTGGGACTCCCCAATCCACCCCGTTCGGGGCCCAACGTCCTTGCTGGCACATCGCTTCGTGTCCATCCCCTTCGGGCTGAGCCTCTTTGCTGGCACATCACCCTAGTTTTAATACCATTTGTAACCGCCTAAGTCTACTGCAAGAAGATATTGTCTTCTTTGGACTTCTCTTTTGCATTTGTTAGGGAGAAATTTTCAAATACTTAAAAAAAATGTTTCGTTTTCCTCCTAACTGATGTGAAATCTCACGTTTATACTAAATTCTGTGTGGATATAACTATATTCTCACTCAAATTATCCACAAATTCCTATGACATATACGCCTTACAAGTTACAGTTCTTCTCCTCAACCTGAACGAAGACGAACAATTACAGTTCTTCTCCTCAACCCATAGCTATGAAGTTAGACTTATTAAAATCTCCAAAACCAGATTCCTACAGCGTCGTACATTTAGAATAAACGAAAAATCAATTAAACGATATTCCGTTGTTCTCAATCAGATCGCGAAACAGATAAGCAGAGGAAACTGAAGTGCAATTTTAGAGTTCAGAAATGGCTGGAGATCCAAGAAATTACCGTAGAGATTGATTATCCATTCCAAGCAGGCCTGCGCCAATTCTTCATCGAAACCAAAATCGGCGGCCAAGCTTCGCAACCGAGCTCTCTCCTTTTCCATGTCGTGACCGCCCATTTTGGGGGTGTGGAGGCTTTGTTTCTCCCGCGAAAATTACCTTTATTTTGCTACATTATAAAAAAATAAAAATAAATAAAAAATACATTAACGGTATAAAAAAATATTTTTATTATTTCAAAATTTGTAATATTATCAGCTAAATTAAAATATATATATATATATTTATATAAAAAAAATAAAAATAATAAATAATCAACCACCAACATTTTTTGAATAAAAAAATGTTAAATTAATAAAAATACTTTTAAATTTTTTATTTGGGTATACCTTTAAATTTTTAAAGCTTTTGAAGCTTACTTTGCTACAGTGGACCGTTAGGTTAGTAGGGTGCCTCAGTTTGGAGGCTTGAAGGACTTAGCGCCATGACAAGGGGTATCAGAGTCAAAGGTTCGGGCAAGGCATGGTTAGTGGGAAAAAAAACCGTAGGCTAGTCTAGTGCGCTAAAGAGGTTGGGAGCAGACTCGTAATCGTGTGGACGCCTTGTTATACAACTGAAGGGACAGATTTCGAGCGAGCAAGTTACTTCTCCGGAGAAAGATGCACTGGTTAAGTAGACCAAAAGACGTAAAGAACGCGGAGCGTGAAGTGCAATTAGATCCATTTTGAGGACGAATTTTGAATGATACTCTTAAATTTTCAAATAAATTTAAAAAATACTTTTTCATTAATACTTTATATATAAAAAAAAAAAAATTTAACAGTATTTTTAAAAAAATTGTAATATATATATAATACATAAAAATACTTTTAAATTTTTTATTTAGGTAAAAAATACCTTTATATTTTTAAAATTTTGAATAATACTCTTAAATTTTTAAATAAATTAAAAAAAAATATTTTTATCGTTAATACTTATATAGAAGAATTAATTATTAACGATATTTTAAAAAATACTATTAAACTTGAAAATTTTCACTAATATCATTCCATTTATTTATTTATTATTATTTTTTATTAAGACCAATTTTAATGTTATTTTTATTATTAAAGAAAAAGTTGAATTATTCGTCCTTTTTAAAATAAAATAAAAAATTAGAATCCGTGTGAGTTTAGAACTGAATGAACAGCCGCGAAAGATGAAGCCGCCGAAATGGAGGGGGACAGAGCCGGTAATGGTGAAAGAGAGATCTGCGCGTTCCTGGAAACTCGAAGCTTGGAAAAAATGGCGTCAAGAGTTCATCTCGCAATGTCAAATAAACCTTCGTACGGTCGGCGCAATGACTAGACCCGGTGGTCAGTCCACACAGTGCGAGAAATTCAAGTAAGAACTCTTCACGCCAATCATTTCCTCTTCATTTCCTGAAATAAACCCTAATTTAGCGATTTCGTCGTGGTTTCTGTTTACTTTTTTACAGATTAATGTAATTGTTTGATTGGATGTGGGGACAATGAGATCAGTTTTGCCCCTTTCATTCACGTTTGCAGGCCCCTCTAACTTAAAGAACGTGTAATTTTTTGTCTGATCTTCAAATATCTCTATGTTTTTATGTCGTCGTTCGTCATTTTCATGTGGTTATTGTCGTTCTCAAGGAAAATGGTTCATTCGTTAATGCTTTAAGTTCTGCTGCTATAACCAATGACTGAATTTCCTAGAACTTCGAAGGTAATTTCAGCCGCTTGAAGATTAGAGGCTGAAATGGAGTTTCAGGGGAACTTTCTATTGTAATTTCTGTGCTTCTTCTTGATCAATCAGCCATGTTCATTGATTTCTCTTCAATTTCTCTTCCAAATCCGCTCCCCTGTCAGTGTCAGATAAGAACACGTAGGGTATTGGTGGATATTTTATTAGGACATGGCAGTTTAGTTAGTTATCCGAAGCTCAGAGAATTTCTTCCAACTTTCCATTACAAAATCTAGGCAATGTCATGCTTCCTTTTGAAAATGGTTTTGCTTATTCCAACATTTATTTTACAATATAAAATTGACTTCAAGTATTAACGCGTTTCTTCTGTAGTTTGATGGAAGCTTCCTCTTCCCTTCTGAGTACAATAAATTGTCAATAGCCATTCCCTTATAATATTTATCAGCAGAATAATTCTTAGAGATTTTGGTTGTTTTGAGCTGTTTTCTCGGTATTTGATGGTACAGAAGAGGGCTTTTCATATCTACCATGGCGATGGTTATGGAGCTCCAAATCAAGAGTCAAAACGAATCAATATACTTGGGACGTGAGTATACAGTTAGTCCAAGAACATTTGTGTTCTGTACATCGATCTTTTATTTTCTTACATTTGGTTTCATTTGTGTTTCTGCAGGGCTTTTCTGGAGGATAGCATGTTCACTATTCTCGAACCTTTGATTCGGAGAGTGGTAAGACAAGTCTCTTATTGTTGGTTATAACTAAACTGAATCAATTAAATCTGTTTTAGAACTTACTTTGACAGCCTTCTTAGCTCTGTCTTTTAGGTTTGCAATTCAAATTGTAGCCGTTGTAGGATAAAAGGAAATTGGTTTGGTGCCTTGATGGCTTTTGTTTTTTGGCTGCAGACCCTTGTGTACTTTCTCCATTTTTTTTTTTTTGGCTTCCATCAAGAACGGTCCAACGGAGTTTTAAAGAGTTTCAAAAGATAAACCTCCCTTGAAAACTTGAGATGATGTAGGAAGTTACACCAATTTCAGTAAACTATTTAAGCTACCAGTGTGATTGATCCGACAAGTACTAAGGGCTTTCGGTAGACTGATTTCATTTTTGAATTCGCTTACGACAAGACAAGTTATGGTCACCTAGTCTCCAGCCGTTTATATCTCTAAATTTTGAACCGTGTTTTAAGTAATAAATAATGATATAACAAAACAAATATACGAGAGGTTGCTAACACTACCACGTTCAAATGGTGAAACAAGCTACAGCCATAGTTATTAAGCAGACCTTTGATTTCAGACATTTAATATTCTATTCTTTGTTTTCTGTATGTTTGTTGATTAGGTAAGAGAAGAAACAGATTGTGCTATTACCAAAATTTTTCTCTCTTCTTCAAGGTACGTACTTTACCCTGTCCTTGCTCAATTTTTTTCGTTGATCATTTGTGAACCATCTCTCTGCCTTCAAAAACCTTTATTCTGTAAATTTTTCATGCAGTCAAGTTTAGGATTGCTGCTTTGATTTTTGCCTCCATGAGTGGTTCATTATTTACTAAAATAAGTTCGTTGACATGCATTTTCTGACATATTCATTCATCAATCATTATGTTGGTCTTTCCTCGTTCTCCATCTGAATTTTAGCTACCTTTTGGTTCTCCAGCAGCTCAATTAGCGAAGCTGAAACAACGACAGCAGGATTTAGTATGCAGCTGCTGTTTGATGGCAAACTGCCGGATCAAATATTCACAAACAATCCACTGAAAGCCGAGGGGGGCAAACCATTGGAAATTCATCTATGCTATGCCAATTCCAAGGCTGTAGTGGAATCTGGTCCACTATCATCGGCGAAAGTCGATTTTTCTGTCATCAGTGGGCTATGTTCCAGAGATCAGGATGATTGGACTGAGGAGGAGTTCAATTCTAAAATTTTAAGCGAAAGAGATGGTAAAAGACCTCTTTTAGCGGGATCCCAGAGTATCGTATTGAAAAACGGGGTTGGAGTAATAGGAGATCTAAGCATTACTGATAATTCCAGCTGGATCCCGAACAGGAAATTCATATTGGGAGCTAAAATTTCACATAAAAATTCTGGAGAATATAGAGTTAAGCCAGCCAGAAGCTATCCTTTTTCCGTCAAAGACTGCCGTGGAGAGAGTAAGTTGTGTTAGCTTAACACTTAGCTCAAACACTTAGAGAGAACTACTTTCTTGTGCCTTGTTGACCTTCGTTTTCTGGGTACCAGATTCTGATAAATGATAGTATTGTCTGTATCTGATTGCTTGTTTTTCAGGGTATATGAAGCATCATCCTCCAAGCGTGCAAGATGAAGTATGGCGTTTGGAGAACATTCGAAAAGATGGTAAATTCCATCACCAGCTTACCAGACACAAGATTCACACTGTCGAAGACTTTCTCCGACTGAATGAAACAAATCAACGCAAGTTGCGCTCTGTAAGATAGTCTCTATAGTTGTGTTAACTATAATTCTCGATCATTTATGTTTACTTGTTCCTTTTCATTTGTTTTCTTCATCCATTTGACTGACTCTAGGAAGAACAATCTTATAACTCACACTTGGTTTTGTGCCGATGACATTACAGATACTTGACCCAATGTCAGATAGGATGTGGCAAAAAGTTTTGGATCATGCAAAAACTAGCATCACGGGCAATGGCACGGTTCCAAGATGCCCAAATGGATGGGATGGGGTAATTTATTCTGTTCAACTCTGTCTCAAAAGTTGCCATATTTCTGCATTTAGTAAAATATGATTTTTGTTTGGAAGGAGAAAAGAAAACAATAGGGGAAAGAAAGGAATCGCGATTATTATTATCTTAAAATCAATTTTCATTCTTGTAAAATAAATTTACGTTCCAAAACTTAGCAGCTATCATTTTCGCTTGCAGGCAATAGTTGAAGATCTAAAGCAGCCAATATGTGTGAACAGATTTATTGAAGATCTAAAGCAGCCAATATGTGTGAACAGATTTGATGAGCAACATACCTTCAAACCTCCATTGACCTACCGGCAAGCTGGTCCTATTTCGCCGAATCTACGGTTGCATCCATTGCCCGACGTCATACATTCACAAGGTATAAAATCTGTGATGATATAATTAATACAAGATGGATTTTGTTATCTTAGAGTGTGGTTTGATGATCATACTACCCTTCATAAACAATGAATACAACCAAATTACACGTTTCTTTAGAAAATTTACTACCTCTGATGCTAAAGTAGCTCTGTTTCTGTGTTGACTCCTTCAAATTCACTTTTCTGAGGCTGTTGATTTTTGGAAAATAAATGATAACAAAAGGTCCCATGGTAGTTTGTTCTATAACCGTCCGTTTGATCGGTCGGGTTCTGGCATGAAAAAGTCCTCCCCAAGTTGCCTTCTTGCAGTTCGTTCTTGATTTTGGGGCGTGATTGTTTAAACTGATGAATCTCTGAATGTAAACGATATTTTGAGTTCGTGTATCTTTTTTCACGTCCTGTCGTACAATATCTAGTTCCCTAAAACAATGTATTTCTATTTTCTGAGCAGAGAACCTGCAAATTTGTGCTCCAAATACTAACAACGGTGAAGAAGATGGAATACCTTCAATTTTCCAAATACATAACAGTCATGCAGACCAAATCTTTCCTCCAATACTGCAACCTGATTACATTGTAGATGACTGTACTTTACTGTTGCAAAATCCAGTTTACTATCCTCCAGCAACATTCGGGCATGGAAACGAGTTGCTTCCTTCTTCGAGTTATGCAGCGGAGGCTGGGGTGTGTGGTATTTCCCCTTATGTGGATCATGTCTCCGATATCTTAAATGGGGCTGATTAAGTTGCAAGCTGTTCTGTGTAGGCAATGTCAGTCGAATCTTCGAAATGGAAACGGAAAAGCCAATATTCAGACGTTGTCTCGCCGTACTCCGGTGCTAAAATGTCAAGTAACTTCTTTCATTGTCTTAGTGTCATGTTATACTGCTCACCCAAGGAGTAAAGTTCTGCTAAATTTGCAGGTTCTTCTTAAGAGTCTTTGTAAAGAGTCTGCTTTCCTCTTTTTATCTATATAAGCTCTGCTAGTTGACGTTGATGTAACCTATAAAACAATTAGAAAGGAACATGTTTTTCTTCGAAACGAACATCACAAGTATACAGGTTCCTACATCGGCAGCCTCGTAGGCCAAGGGCTCGGGTCGTTATGCGAAGATGCGACAACATTCTTGATTCTTTTGTTATGGTGGAGAACTTGGTAACTGATTGCTCTTGTTGTGGAGAACTAAGAAAGCAAAGGTACACATTTGTATGACCTTTGTTTTTATAGTGAAGCATTGATTTGGGGGAAATATTAATTATTCATGTTCATAGCTCCATTCAAGTGTCTAGAACCTCGGGGTTCGTGGATTAGGTTAAGTTAGAGACATTTATTTAGATTCAGTGGTTCATATTATAATTTTTTAAAACTTAAATAACTCTTATTAAATAATGAATTCAACCCAGTCATAGAATATCGCGGTGGGGATTCGTTGGATTGTGAGATCACACATCAGTTGGAGAAGGAGAATGAAACATTCCTTACAAGGATCTGGAAACTTCTCCCTAGTAGACTCGTTTTAAAACTGTGAGGTTGACGGTGATACGTAACTGACCAAAGTGAACAATATTTGTTAGTGGTGGATTTGGGCTGTTACAAATATATCAAAACTAGACACCAGACGATATGCTAGCGAGAACGTTTGCCCCCAATGAGGTGAATTGTAAGATCTCACATTGGTTGGAGATTGAACGAAACATTCCTTTCAAGAGTGTGAAAACCTCTCCTTAGTAGACACGTTTTAAAACCATGAAGTTTGCCCCCAATGGGGTGAATTGTAAGATCTCACATTGGTTGGAGAGGAGAACGAAACATTCCTTTCAGGGGTGTGGAAACCGCTCCTTAAACACGTTTTAAAACCATGAGAGTGATGATGATACGTAACAGACCAAAGTAGACAATATCGGCTAGCAATACCGTTTATTTTAATTTTGTTTTTTAAAATAAATGTAAAATATTAATATATAAATTATATATTTATCTATTTTCCGCTATTGACTTATAATTCAATGTCAATATATATTTTAAAAAAATATATTCCAAATGCTTAAAATTTTACTTTTTTATTTAACCATTGGAGAAATAAAAAAACAAAAGGGTGTAATTAAATAAAATTACATATATTTTAAATTAACAAATTCGAGTTGATTTAATTCGAAATTAACCTCTCTAAAAAATATTCATCTGTAAAGATCCGTTCAAATAGAGAAGTGAATCTAAACGTCAATTTTTATTTTTAAAATATTTTTTAAAACACATAAAAAGAAATCATAATAAAGGAGAAAGAAAATCAATTTTTTTTTAATTAAGATTATGGCATATTATATTTTTCAGAGATCCTTCAACCATATATGGGGAGGAAAATCTCATTATTTTGTTATTTTATTAATTGTTTATATTTCATTTTTATATATTTGAATTAAAAAAGGTATAATATATATACATATATATTTCCAAAAAGGGTATGCAAGTGTATATTCGCTACTCTTATTTCACACTCCGGTATGAGTGGCATCAGTAGTAAATATTGTGAACTCGAGTGGCAAATTACGAAGGATAAAAATATCTAGCTTTAAAAGTAGTCGATTATCAAGTGGGGGAAAGAAAAGGAAAAAACTGAAATCTCTCGAACTTTCCTTCGTTCATATCGCGTGCAAGATATTTTCATCTCTTCCTTTGCCGTCAATTCGTCCCTCGTTGTAGACCATCCGCAAATCGTTGAAGAAGCCGACGCAACGGAGCTTTCTCTCTTCGTCTTCTTGTTCTTCACTGTTTTTGAAGCCCGCGGTGGTATTATGGTGTTCTGATCCTTTGTTTGGTGGTTGTTTTTCGAGACTCTTCGGCTTCTCTTCTTTTTGATTCCGGTTTTCGATGGATCGGGGAGGAGGATCCGACGGCGGATCTTCCTACTACGCTATCCTAGGGATTCGTAAGGATGCCTCCCTATCTGAAATCCGTACTGCCTATCGCAAGCTTGCTCTGGTACTGAATTCGATTCTCGATGTATTGGTTTTGAAATTCGACTTTCTTGTTTATTCTGTTTGAGATTTTGAGTTTGGAGGAGATTTGTTTTGTTTTGTTTTTTTCGATTGGAGAGTGAGTTTGTGAAATCTGAATGCGTTGTTGTTCTCGTTTGTTTTGCCGTCAAGAAATGGCATCCGGATCGGTGTACGAGGAATCCTGCTGTCGCTGGAGAAGCCAAGCGGCAGTTTCAATTAGTTCAAGAAGCGTATTCAGGTGAGATCATCGGTTCATCCGCCCCTAATCCCTGTCAATTTTGTAAACGCCGTTGAATTCCCGGTCAATGTTCATAGGAAAGGGCACTAACGCGCGTTAGATTGCTCCATCTGCCTCCTCTCTCACAGTTCTCTCCGATCAGGCGAAGAGGTCCGTTTACGACGCCGGTCTTTACGATCCGACGGAAGAAGACGATGAGGTCAGTATTGTTCTTTGTTTTTTTTTTTTTGTTTTGTTTTTTTTATAATTATTATTAGTATTTTCTTGGGCTCTGGTTTAGATATTTTAGCACGCTATGATTATACACTCGAAAATACGACGTCGTTTTTATCATGTTATTGGTATTATTTTTGGTAACACCTTTAAACAAATAAATAAATAAAACTATATCTTTTAAAATTTTCCTTAATAATCTTAACAATAAACCTTCCTTTTTTTTTCTTCCTTCCAAAATAATAATAATAATAATAATAATAATAATAATAATAAATAATGATAAAATTTCTGTGGAATTATTTTATTTCGAAAATTAATTATACGTTTCAAAAACATGCAGCAAATAAGAATTATATCGTATCAAAATCTTAAGATTTTAAATATTTTAAATTTTAAATTACTTTATAATAAGTTTTAAGTACTTGCCTGAAACAATCGTATGAAAAATTATAAACAAAAAAAAATTGTTGCTGTTATTTTTTAATTATTATTATTTTTTTTAATGAGATAATCTGTTCATGGGACAGTATTATTTTTTCTTCATTTTTAAAATTATTTTTTTTAATAAAAAATCAATACATAAATAATAAAATTTTAAAAAATAATGAAAATTTCTATGATATTTTACGGAATTATTGATCATAGTAGTTTTTTTTTTCTCTGTCATTACGGCGTGTGGTGCAGGAATTTTGCGATTTCATGCAAGAGATGATATCAATGATGAACAACGTCAAACCGGAGGTAAAATCCCGACCGTTCAATTTCCTGGCAATTAATTTCTGCCATCCTTGACCGTTCATCTCCTCTATTTGAACATTATCAATAATAATAATAATAATAATAATAAATCTCTGAGAGAACCTGCTAATTAAGGTAAAATATTGCTGAATTTTATGATAAATTTTGATTTTGTCCCATTTAAATCTTTTATGTTTTATTTTTTAATTTTGAAATTGAATTAAATAAACTTATTATTATTGGTATTATTTATATATTAAAATTGAAGATATTTTTAGTTTATTTAAATTGAATTACTTAGTGATAAAAGGAATAAAGATAAATTCTTCCAAGCAAATTGAAAAATATTTACATTTTTAGATAATTGCAATATTTTAAAACAAATCTAAAGTTAATAATAAAAATAATCTTTTTTTATTTTTGGTTTTTGGGTTTTGCTAGGGTGACAGCTTCGAGGACCTACAGAAGATGTTCATGGAAATGGCTGATTCAGATGGCATCGGAGGGTTCACCGTGAACGACAATCCAACGGCTTCAAAAAGGCCACGTGCCAACGGCTCCAGATCTACCGAGGCCAAAAGAAGCACCATGCGGCGCTAAACCAAACGCCCGGTCACCGTAAGATCTTTTCCATTCTCTCTGTAATTTTCAAAAATGACGAAAATCTCCTTAGCTGACGTGGAAATATGTGATTGTAGGTGGTGGCCATTGCGTATTTATCCCAGTTTAGGTTCCGAAGGGTGACCTGATAGTTCTTTTCTTCAAGTAATTTAGTGCAAGATGGAGGGGCTTTTAGGTCTTTTCTTGTTGGAGAATATTTGGCTTACTTTTTTTCTCTTTATAGTATTAGAATTATATGATTATCTTTGATATAAAAATATAAATTTTCGATTAATAGTTTAGGTAATATGATATTAAAAAAAAGTAACTTTATATTATTAAATTAAATTAAACAAAAGATTCGACCAAAATTCTCCTATAATCATTATAAAGATCGCCAAGACTGTTTTTTTTTTTTTTATCATTTGATTAAAATATTATAATTTATTTTATCATGTGATTAAAACAATTTTTTGAATAGATTGCGTAATATTATATATTATAAATTATATAATATGGTAAGAAATAATTATGAAAAATACACACAATAAAACTACCTCGTAAAATTGAAATTCTAACTACAAGCATTTTTATGTTTAGTAAATATAAAATTGCATAATCTTTTAAATTAGGAATTAAATTGTAAATTTGCTAACAAATCCAAATTTGTAATTCAGCTAATATTTGGAGTTATGGTTTCAAGTTAAAACGACCGGTTTAGAATTCGTGAACTCGTAAATAATTCATCTTTTAAATATTGAACTCACGATAAATAGGTGTTGGCATAAACATGTTTGAGTTGTTCGAGTAAAATTCAAAATAGTGTGTGTATATGTATGTATGTATATATATATATATATATGACATAGATAATTAATTTAAAGTTCTTTTAAAAAAAACGTCATTCCAACCAAATATCATAAAATATCACAATTAATATACGATTATTTACAGTTTGAAAAAAAGTTTAAATTTCGTTTCTATGGTTGCAAAAAAAATTATAATTTTGTTCTTATGGTCCGATAAAATATCACAATTAATATAGATTATGAACCACGTTGATTACGTGGTGGTTAGCTATATGTGTATCATTAAGGTGGTCTTTTATAGGTTAAAAATTAGCTCGATTTTGAAAATTAAACCTATAAATAATAATGTCACAAAATGTTCTTATTTTATTTTTTAATCTATTTTTAGCTAGCTATATTTTAAAATATAAAAAAAATGATTTTAAATAAAACATAAATTTAAAAACAAAAAACGAAATGAAATTACAATACTTTGATAATAATAAAATAATAATAATAATAGTTAGTGGCAATTCCGTAATAATCTCCAAATCTGAGCCGATTTACATTCCGCAGCCCGCTCTTCAGCACTCCTATATAAATTCATGGGTAGGGTTCCCCAACGTTCACTATCATTTCTCTCTCTCTCTCTCTCTCTTTCCACTGTGAAACTAAAAAACTCA